CCCCCCCCCCCCCCCACACACACACACACGGACCTCCAGAAACACCCAGGTGAAAGGCTAGGGCCAAGGGGACTGGATTCCACAGTGAGGGGAAGACAGGCAGTGTGAGGGTAGGCGGGTCCTCTTCACTAAACCGAGATCCCAGTCAGGGCAGCTGAGAGGCTTCCCTGAGTCACTCCCATCTCCACACACAACACCCAGGGATGACTTAGCACCAAAACACCAGTAGCTCTCCTTAGAGGAAAGGCTGAGAATACGCATCCAAGTCTAGGACTAAAAACTTCAGAAACACTGAGCACAAGCTGTCCACACCCACCTTCCTCCCCCTCCCAACCTCCCCACCAAAACCACCCTCTCCCTAGTGGGAGGGAGAGGGGTTGCTGGGAAGGGCAAAGCGATGGTCCCCAGATAGGCTCAGTAGTGGACAAGAAGGGAAGGGATGCAGGACAGTACAAGGGAGACCTCACATGAGCTAGGAAGAGAAATGGAAGGAGCTGGAGTGTGGAAAAAGACCCAAAATGTAAGAAGCAAGGGCCAGAAAGGGAAACTGAGAGAGCAACCGGGAACAGCTGGTGACTGGAACAGCAAAGCACCGGGGAACAGGAGACGAGGGAATAGGAGGGACGGGGAAGATGAAGAGGCTGGAGAACTCACAGTCCTCTGGGGACCGGGAGCTACGGGGACACGGGGTTCAGGGGTCAGCAAACTAAGTGTCTAGGGAAGACACTGCCTGTATGGAGACTGGAGCGACCGAAGACAAGGGGCCCGGGTAGCGGGAATGACTGGGGAGCAGGGGGTCCCGGACCTGGAACTGGACTCAGGAGTCTAGGGGGTAGGAGAGAGTGAGACACGGGGGGTCTAAGAACCGGGGGTCCGGGAACTGGGCAAAGGGGTCGGAGGACTGGGAGGGACCGGGGGACAGGTGTCTAGGAGCTGGTTGTAAGTGATGGACAGGAGTCAGGGGACTAGGAGTGCGCGGACTCGGGACGCCAGAGAACTGCAGGTGACCAGGAGCCAGGAACTGGGCGTACACGGGGGCGGGAGACCGGGAGCGGCGGGACGGGGGTCTCCGAGCAGCGGGACGCGGGGACTCAGGGGCCGCAACGAGCAGCAGGAGCGGCGGGAGCCGAGGCGGCCGGGTCGCGTGACAGCGGCGAGGCCCCCACTCACCGCTCATGATTCCGCTCCCCGGGCCTGTGCCCGCGCCGTGCCGCCGCCGCCGCCGCCACTGCCGCCGCGCAGCTCCAGACAGACCGGGAGACAGCGCGCCCCGCCCGGCCGCCCCGCCCCGGAAGTGGAGCCCCTCCGCCGAGGCCCCGCCCCCCGACCCGGAACGTAAACATGGGCGCCGGCGCGGGGCAGACCTGGTCGAGCGGCGACCTCAGCGGGCCTGCTTTGCGGCGGGCGAGTCCCCGTGCGCCTCCTCGCACTCGTGGGCTCCCGCCTCCTTCCGGGAGCCAGACGGTGAACGAGGCGACGAGAAATGAGACATTGTTCCAGAGAGCGCTGGAGTTGAGAAAGGAAATTTTTAAGAAAGTAATGGGCCGAAGCGTGGGGAGAGGGGAGCTAGGCAGTCCCGGAGGGCCTAAGGAGACGACGCTAGAGCTGAGACCTGGATGATGAGAGGGAGACGGCCCAGGAAGACCCGCAGGCAAGCTGTTCCAGAAGGAACAGCGAGCCCAAGGCCCTGCCTGGAGGGGCTGACTGGAGCGAGAGGGTGAGTGAGGAAGGGCTGATGAGGGAGAGGAGATTGGAGAGTGGGTGGAGGGCCTTGCGGGCCGTGGTAAGGAGTTTGGGCTTTTCTGCCTAACTCTAAGTAGGTAAGGGAATGGGAAGCCGTTGCAAGAATTTAAGTAGAGTGAGATGATCTGAATTAGGTTTTAAAACGATTACCGTTACTGGATTGAGAGTGAATTGCTGTGGGGCAGGGTGGAGAAGGGGCAGCTGGTTAGGGGGCCACTGCAGTTGTCCAGCAATAGTGCCCGGGGCTGGGGTGATGGCAGTGGAGATGAACATGAATAGATCGTGGGCGAACACGTGTTCACAACAATCTTATGAAGTCCAAGTTACTGCCCCATTTTACAGATGGGGACCCAGAAAAGTTAAAAGGAGCATTTTTCCAACTTGTTTTACCTGCAACCCAGAGTAAAAAAATACATTTACATCACAACCCAGTACACACATACATAAGTTTAAGGAGATGTTTAACAAAACAACTCTGTAGGTAATGTATTCTCTGCTACTTTTCTTTTGTTGTTGTTTTGAATGCTGACTGAGATGATTGATCCACTAAGTCCTCTTGATCCACAGTCAAAAATACTGAGTTGAGGACCAAGCCCCACTGGGAAATGGAGCCAGAATTCCAGCCCAATGCTGTGAGACCCACAGCCCCGTGGTCTTCCTACTGCATTGCCTCTCAACACGTAATCTTCAGGCCCTGGGAATTTGTCTTTTGGACTCAGCAGAGGTCAAGAGGTCTTTGGAGAAGGATGCTCTGCAGCATTATTTCTAAGAGTGAAAAAGTGGAGGGGCTGGCCCCATGGCATAGTGGTTGAGTTCAGCCATGCTCAGCTTTGGCTGCCCAGGTTCACAGGTTCAGATCCTGGGCACGGACCTACACCACTCGTCAGCCACGCTGTGGTGGTGGCCCACATACAAAATAGAGGAAGATTGGCACAGATGTTAGCTCAGGGCTAATCTTCCTCAAGCCAAAAAAAAAAAAAAAGAAGTGGAAAGCACTAAAGCTCGATTACAGAAGAAAAGCTAAGCAAATCATGGCCCACCTCCCAAGGCATCTCTTGCAGTAGTTGAAAATACTAATTATAAAGATTATGGAAATGCAGGGAAAGGTGGATGATAATACATTAAGTAAAAAAAGCCCCATGCAAAATGGTCTGTATACCATGATTACAATTGTGTCAAAATACGGCTGTGTGTAGGAACTATGAGAGAAGGTAAAAATGAGACTACTTGTGTGTTTGGTTGGTGGGGTTGTTTTTCCCATTTTCAAAATTATCCTTTACAGTTGTTGTTAATTTGTTATTCTGGTTAAAGAGTCAGTGTGTCTGAGTCCCTGTCCCCCACAAAGCCGAGTTTAGGTCAGCCTGCCTCTGTAAGCTTTGGTGAGGCATCACATACCTGCTCCATGGAGTTGTCACAAGGATAATGTGTTACACCTTCTCGTAGCGCCCTGTACCTCTTCTTCATGGCACTTGAAGCAGGATAAGTTATTGAAATTGTAGTTTGTGCTTTAGGTTTTCTACCACCAACCACCCCCTTTAAGTACTGTAATTCTTTCTTCCTGGGATTTTAGCCTGGAGGACTGAGAATCAAAAGGCTAATGTCAACAGCTCTTCTGGGCTTTTGAAAAACCTAAACTCATTGAGATTGTACTAGAGGGTGAGGAGAGAAGGAGGAGGGCCTGTGAGAAGCTAGGAGCAATATTCTCAGGCCATAAAACAGGAAATGAGTGTGTGCCTGCCCTCAGAGAGCCTAGCCCTCAAAGGGAGTAATAACAATCATTACAGCAATGTAACTGACACAAAGCACTTATTAGGAACCAGATACTTTTAGGGAAAAAAGTATATGTATGTAAATGTATATATATATATATATATATACACATTTAATCTTTAAAACAACCTTTATGTAGATACTATTATTATCCCCATTTTACAGATGGGGAAACTGAGGCATAGAGTGGTTAAGTAACTTTCTCAGAGTCACCCAAGGTCTATAACTTCCTAGTAGCAGAGCCAGGATTCAAACCCAGGCAGTCTGGCTCCAACAGCCAATACCTTAACCACTGTACTGTATGGTCTCCTGTGGCTCTTAAGTGCCTGGAATGGAGCTATGCTGGGCCCCGATGGGTAAAAAGATCCCACCAGAGTTCCCCATATCCCAAACCTGACACAAAAGCCACAAAGCCCGGAGACCTTGAGGGTCCATGCTCTGGTGCCAGTGGGCATCTTAGCAATGATCAAAGTCAGCAGATTACCAGAGGGCATTGTCTGTTGTATAGCCTTCTCATAGCGCCCCAGGAAGGGGACCCTCCCCCAATAATGACAAAGACTGTAGCCCAAAGAGATGGGGAACTCAGAAATGGAATTAAATTGATGTGAAGTGAAATAAAAGAATAGATCAGGATGTCTGGGTTTATATTCTGGCTCTGCCATTTACTGGCTCTGTTACCTTGCTATGACTCAGTTTCTGTCATCATCTGTAAAATGGAGATAATAATGGTCCACCTACCTTGTGGTTTGTTGCATGCATTAAATGAGTTAGTGCAGGTAAAGCACTTAGAATAATCCCTGACACGTTAGTAAGGCTATACAAGTGTCAGCTATCATTATTATTACCTGCAGTTGGGTCTAAAAACAATACCTAGTATTGTACACCTTGTACACCTTGATCACAGTTTGCAATTACACATTTATTTGCGTGATTATAATAATGCCTGATGCTTCTGTTAAGCTGGAAGCTCACAAGATCAGAAACCACCCATGCATTGCACACTGAACGAGTGTGGCTGACTCTAGGCTTGTCCTAGCTACAGAAGTACATAGGATAACCTTGCTTTCCTTTAACAATGAAGAGAAAAACCCAGTCTGTCCTGAAATGTATATGTGCGTGTATAGAAGTGGTCTAGCCATAGAGATGTGTGACTATGAGATCTGTACATTGCGGTGTGTTTTTTCAGTGAGTCAGGACTTTAATCATGAAACCAAGGAAGTTCCCACAGTAAGCTCCCAACAATAAGATAGAGAAATATATCTACCATAAAGATTTTCCAGAATTAGAGGATAAAAAGCTGTATCAGCAACTGATAAGTACAGTCATCCTAAAGAGATCTAATGTGTCATCCTTTCCTTCTGACATGAGATTTTAGAGTAGCTCTACACCAGTTGAAAAGGTAATTATCTAGTATAAATTGATTTCTCCATCCCTGTGACACTCACAGCAACTGGCAGGCTATTGCAGTAGTCGTTGGTTTTCGTGGTGACAAGAATGGTTGCGCCTTCCTCCATGGCCGGAAGGGGAAAGAGGTGATCAGAGTCGACCTTTGGTTTGTTCTTGACACAGTCTTCACAGGTACATTCTTCTACCGTGTACTCCAGGCCTCTCGGAGGAAGCACTTCAGCCCCAGTCTTGCTTTTGTCCAGGTCAGCATCTGCCTCATGCTGGAGAGCCGGCCCTGATTATGCAGAAACAAGCGTTAACCTAACCTAGCCAGGGGATGTGATCACAGCGGTCTATGCAGCACACATCAGGACTCGAAGCAAGGCAAAGCAGATCTTTTCCTACAAAACGAAGGAGGATGTGCTGCACCAGAAGTCATGAAGTGACTGACCACAGGCCACATGGGGTTTGAAGACGTGCTGTGTTTAGGGCATACAGTGTTTGTAAGTGCTTGCTTGCTTGTTTGATGTTGGCCCAAATTTAAAAATGAAGAGATTTCACAGACAAATCTAGATGACTGGCCTCTTTTTTTTTTTAAAACAACAAAATGTGGCAACTTGGAGCTGAGGTTGCTTCGTGGAAGCAATTGGCTGGAGTCGCCAGCACCTGTCTCCGTCACCAGGGCATGGGCTCCTCTAGTGCCGGGGCCTGCACCTGGCCCACTACGTTCATTTGTCACCCGCTTGGCCCCTGGAGGCATTGGGGTATTGGCCCTATCTTACACACGTGAAATGACAGATTAGCATATGTTACAGCACACCAAAATCAGCCTGTGGGTGACAGTTTACAATTCAAAGTAAAGAGCTTTCTCTTACAGAGCATTTTGGGGCAGATTAGATTTCTTTTAATGAATCTCTTGTGATCACAGAAGGAAGGAATCTCCATTATATCCCCATTATACACCTGTAGAGGTAAGTTTTACTACTTACTCTTGCACAGTGTAACTCCATCTTTCAAAACGTCATGCTCAAAGTCACTCCCCACCTGTGTCTCAAACCCCAGGCAATAAAAGAAGGATGAGTAAATTATATGGTTCAGCCATCTGTCTCTCCTGACTGCACTAGAAAGCAAATGAGGTGGGTGCTTTACAGATTATGCATGGAAAATACATGCATAAAGAAATGGGGTATGGGCCTGGCCCCGTGGCTTAGTGGTTAAGTGCGCGCGCTCTGCTGCTGGCGGCCCGGGTTCGGATCCCGGGCGTGCACCAACGCACCACTTCTCCGGCCGCCTCCCACATACAGCAACTAGGAGGATGTGCAACTGTGACATACAACTATCTACTGGGGCTTTGGGGGGAAAATAAATAAATAAAATTATGAAAAAGTAAAAAAAAGAAATTGGGTAATGGCTGCAAAGTGTTTGGGAATCAGATCGTGGGCAAAGGTGACGCAGAAATATTTTTATCTTAAGAAACCCTTCAGTAGAACATTTACTTCTCTGGGACTGCTTAATGAAGACAACAATCTTTGAGATGATCAGTGAAACAATCCAGGAGCAACTGGTTATTCATTTCTAACATTTTTTTGGCAGTAAAATATTCATCCAAGCACACAACATTTAATATTTGTATTAAAAATATGGCCATGGATCTTGCCAAGTATACTTTTCCTGACAGTAGCGGACGTGGCTAGCAGTTTCTGATAGCGTAACATTTAATCCATGTACTAACTTTGGTCAAAGAGATGAATGTTTCCCAAGGAAGCCTCAGTGCTTCAGAAGAATAATGACCAAGGGGAGACCGTGGGGGCAGGTGACATTCCAGGACACCTGCAGAGAAGGTGTAAACACTAGAAAGAAGACAGCTCACTTCTTCCAAGAAGTTCGTTTAATCTAACTGTCCCTAACGCCCTCAAAAGGGCTCTAACGGAATGAAATATGCAGCACGAAGAAAGAAGAGGAATTGAAACAACAGCCACCTCTCGGAAACAGAGTTCAAAGATTGACCATCAAACCAACCTGTGTTTTTAAATTCGTCCTTCGATGGTTCAGAGTTCATCTTCCTTAGCAAGAACATCAACACGAAAACTGTCAAAGAGGCTATCAAGCTCAGGCCCAAACAGCTCCAGAGAATCACATTTGTTCCTTTCACTGAATTGGAAGAACATCAGAGAGAGAATACACTGATAACATATCCTCATAAAGTGAAGATTATTTGCCATCCACTTCCCCTAATTCATCAGCATTGACTTTTAAATTCTAAATAACACTTAATTAGAAGAGTTGATAAAATCCATGTTGCTAACAGTACTGAATAAAATTGAGTTCAGTTCGGAATAATTACTTTGTTCCTGCTGGCATTTCAATAATTGCCTTGTTTCCTTTCTCTTTTTGATTTAGAAAATCTCACCATCTTCCCTGTAATGTTTATTCTTTGAATAAATAAATCATCAATATAGAGAGAACACTTCACACCAATGAATAGTTGTTCAAGCAGTATTACTTACTTGCATCACAGTAACGTTGGCATGTTAGAGGAGGAGTGTTAGGACATCGAAGCAGACACGGTTTGCAAGCATTAAGCAATCTGTCAAAATATTCGTTTTGGAAGCACTGCTGAGCCATCTGGAAGTTGATTGCAAAAAGAAACGAGGAAACCACAGAAAGAACAGCATGGAAGGACAAGTAAAATCTCGTCAAGAATTCCCCAGCAAATGTAGTGACAGCAGCTAAAATGTCGAGGAAAAAAAACAACTTCACGTCGATGACTTGGTTCTTATGGGGGCTGTCTCCTTGTACTGTGGCTCAGGATTTGAATACCACCTCCAATTCCAGTTTCTAAGTTTGAGGCTTGGGTGGGGTAAGAGAAGGAGTGTAAATATCAATGGCAAACCATACCTGAAACAGAAACTGCTTATTTATAGAGGAAATTTCTCAGCCAGGTGACAGTTGCAAGATGTAGACAAGCCTGAGGCATCAAGGAGAAGGTTATTAGTCATTTCTGGAATATCTGTCTATAAGCTATGCTGTGTGATAGGCCCCAGGGAGATAGATAAGACAAGGTCTGTGCCCCTTAAGAACTTAAAATCTAATAAGGGAGATAGGAGATAGACATGCACTTGAGTAACCACAAAATATAGTAGAAACTGATAGAATGTGAGAGAGGGAAAGGGATATCAGACTTGTCTACCAGGTTTTGAATCTAGGAAGAATTCCAGAATTCTGACAGCAATAGAGAAATCCAGGGAAAAGCTAACTGACAAGAACGTTGAGGGGAAGATAGGTTTGGAGTATTATTATGATTATTAAAGTAATCCATGTTCCATTGTTGAAAATTTAGAAAATACAGATGAGCAGATAAAAAAACTATCCATAGTCCTAGCATCCAGAATTATCACGGTTAACATTTTAGTGTATCACAGAGTTTGCAAACAGGCCTGCTGATGTGTTCTGTCTGGCCAAGCCCTGATCTAGATCTTTCTGGAAAGGTTTCTGTAGATGCATGGATGGATAGGTACGTAGATTTATATAGTGCATTTTCGTTTTTACATAAATGGAATCACTTGCGTTTGCTTTTAACCATGCTGTGTGAGATACCCATGTAGAGAGATCCAGGGAGATCAAGTTAGAAATGCAGGACTTAGGGCCGGCCCGGGGGTGAAGTGGTTAAGTTCACGCACTCCGCTTCAGCAGCTCAGCGACCTGAGGTTGGCAGGTTGGGATCCCGGGCGCGGACCTATACGCCACTCATCAAGCCATGCTGTGGTGGCATCCCGTATACAAAATAGAGGAAGATGGGCACAGATGTTAGCTCAGGGCCAAGCTTCCTCACCAAAAAAAAAAAGAAAAAAAAATGCAGGACTCAATTAAAATGCAAGGAAATGACAAAGTCCAGATTCAGTGTAGTGATTACCTCTGGGGGGCAGGGAGAGTACAAAAGAGGCACTTTTTTTGTTTTAATGAAGAACTTGAGCCTAGAAGAGAGTTTGAACTTAGATATTGATCAAAACCTCACGTTCCTCTGGGGTCCAGGCAGTGAAGTAAATGAGTGCCACTGCCTGGGTAGGACAGCCAGGAGCTGAAAGGGCTGGCCCAGTAGGTTCCACTCAGGCTCCTGCCAAAGTGACCTTTGGAAGACAGGCAAAGGACACAGGAAAAGCATGATTAGAGAAATGGGAGGACAAAGATTATCTCGCAGAACAGCCAATCAAGGAGTTTCAGGACGGGATGGACAGTGGGGTCAAAGTCTACAGAAAAGTCGGAGGTGATGCACTGAGGAAGGAGGTTGGCCTTTGGGTGTGTCAGTGGATGGAAGCCATGTTGTAGGTTTTTAAGGAGTGGAGAGAAGTGGAGGCAGCCAGTGTGGGCCATGCCTGGGAAATCTAGTGGAAACCGAAAGAACAAAGCTTTGATAACTCTTGGAAAAGAAAACACTGTTGTTTCTGACAGATGTATTTGCTGAGGTGCCTGAAGTCACATGTATAAAGATGTTCACTATAGTATCATTTGTATTCCTAAAAGCCTGTCTGTCAGTGGGGGCTTCACAGTGGAATACTACACAACCATCAAAAAGGGTGGGACAGATGTGTTCTGATAGGAACAATACATCACTAAGTGGAAAATGCAAGGTACTGGACAATGTGTATAATCTGCTCTGCTGTGTTTACAAATAAAATAGGTCTGTATATACAGACATAAACATAGGCCATATCTGGAAAGAATCACAGGAGACTGATAGTATTACTATTTGGTGAGGCAAGAGATAGGGTGAGAAAAAGACTTACTTTTCATTAAAAAATCTTTGGCAGTTTGAATAATTATTTTTTAATAATAATTATTATTTTTAAATAAGAATCATTTTTTTAAAGGGTAGTGTCTTAGTCCATTCAGGCTGCTATACAAAGTACCATAGACTGGGTGTCTTATAAGCAACAGAAATTTATTTCTCACAGTTCTGGAAAAAATGTGAGATCTTGGCTGGGAAGGCCAAGATCAAGGCACGGGCAGATTCGGTGTCTGGTGAGGCCCACTGCCTCGTTCACCGACAGCTGTCTTCTCACCATAACCTCCCGTGGTGGAACCGGCAAGAGATCTCTCTGGAGTCTCTTTTATAAGGACATTAATCCCCTTTATGAGGGCTCTACCCTCATGACCTAATCACCTCCCAAAGGCCCCACCTCCAGATACCATCACATTGGCCCAGAGCACTCACTGTGCCCTAAGAGCAGTGAAGGCCTGCAGAGGTGGTTCTTAATCACCTGGAGGCCTCAGGTGACTTGGGGAAGCCCAGGGCTGGCTCCATACTCAGGGAGCTCATGGCAGACCCTTCTTGGCAGGTCATCAAGCCTCTTGGGTGTGCAGGGTGGGCTCCCAGGGACCAGAGTCGAGAGGCTTCATCTTGCTTCACCCCCTCTCCCCATAAGCATATTCTCTCTCTTGGTCATGTCAAGCTTGAATGCAGAGAGTGCAGGCCTTGGAGCTGCACCACATCGGCGGTCAGCCCAGAGAGGGTTTCGATGAAAGCTCTGGTTCCTCCCCTTCCGCAGGTGTGCTGTTCAGCTTGTTCAGCTCTGTCTGATTCTGTGAGCGAACACTGTGATCCTTCCAATAAAGTCCTCTTTTGGCATAAGTTAGCTGGAGTCAGTTTTGGTTGGTTGCTAGCAATCCAAAAATAAAACTAAAATCCTTTACCACGTTAACCAATTCCTAACTGACTCCTCTACTCATGCCTGAAATGTCGACAACAGACACTGATGGGGGTAAGCCATCCCTTCCCCTTTGCTCCTCAGGATGGGGGTGACTGGTTAATTCTGACAGGGTCAGCTGATTCTCCTCCACGACAGGTGAGGAGATGGGAAAACACAGACTAGGAGGAGACAGAGATAAATGTGCAAACAAGGTTGGGAGATGTTATACTAGTCAGGACTTTCCATAAGAAATGACATAAAAACTTAAAAAGGAATTTACTGGCTTGTTAGTTAAGTCCAATGGTAGAATCAGCTCTAGTGGCTTGAGTTATGTCCAATAGTGTCCTGGTTTCTCTCTGTCACTTGGCTCAGCAATGCTATCTTCTGGGTCTTGGCTCCATTCTCAGGTCCTCCCCTCATGGTCACAAGAAAGCCGCAGCCCCTCCAGACCTCACACACCCTTATTGCTTCTAAACTCTCTCCTGAATAATCTCATCTGCTCTCACGGTTTAAAATGTGTTAACTTCCGGGCTGGCCCCGTGGCTTAGCGGTTAAGTGCACGCGCTCCACTGCTGGCAGCCTGGGTTCGGATCCCGGGCGCGCACCGACACACCGCTTCTCCGGCCATGCTGAGGCCGCGTCCCACATACAGCAACTAGAAGGATGTGCAGCTATGACATACAACTATCTACTGGGGCTTTGGGGGAATGAATGAATAAATGAATAAATAAATAAATAAATAAATAGTGTTAACTTCCAAACCTATATATCCAACTCCAACCTTGCCCCTGAAATCCAGACCTATCTACCAACTGCCTACTTGATATCTCCACCTCAAAGACTAACAGGTGTCTCAAACTTTTCTCTATTAAAGTGCAGTTGGATTCCCCAAAAGGGAGAGGGTGTATGCTGCCTTTATCAAACCTACTTGGCCATAGAATCCCTTTTTTCAAGGACCACCTATGAACATTTAGGAATATATGTTTTGTGGAACACAATTTGAGAAAAACTAGGCCAGATTATCTCCACAATTCCTTCCAGTTCTCAAAGATTGGGATTTTGGGACTTAGCAGAGCAACAATAAAACAGAAGTAGCATTTACAATAAGAATTTTTTAAAGTTTCATGATAGAGTTTGTTGCTATAATAACATCACCAAAAGACTGCTGGGTCTGACCTCACTCTACACAGAAAGAGCAGGGAGGAAAACCAATCCTCGAGGCAGCCTCAAGCTTCAGCGCTCACTCACAGCTCTAAAGAAGCAAAGAGACGCCGCCTCAAGCTTCCATAGCTGTTGGCATGTCCTGCAAGGAAAATTCCATCCAACTCAAAGATTCTTTTCCCAAAATTAGTAAACTACAACCCAGTTTTCACGGCAGAACACTTCGACCTTTACCTCTTAACTCCAAACCAAAAGTACACGATTTCTTCCAAGGACTTTAGTAGATTTTTCACTTGGAAAGGGAACTCTAGGCCTGTATTAGTCAGAGTTCTCCAGAGAAACACAACCAACAGGATGTATATATAGAGAGAAGTATTTCTTATAAGAAATTGACTCACACAATGAGGGAGGCTGAGAAGTCCTAAGATCTGCATTTGACAAGTGGGAGACCCAGGGAAGTCAGTGATGCTGGTGTCATTCCAGTTGGGGTCTGAAGGCCTGAGAACCAGGAGAGCCAATGGTGTAAGTTCCAGTCCAAGAGCTGGCCCAAGAAGAGCCAATGTTTCCTCTTGACTGATGTCCCGGCTCAAGCTGTCAGGCAGGAGGAGTTCCCTCTTGCTCGAGGAGGGTCAGCCTTTTTGTTCTGTTCAGGTCTTCAACTACGGGATGAGGTCCACCCACTTTGGGGAGAGCAATCTTCTTTACTCAGTCTACCTGTTCAAACGTTAATCTTATCCAAGAACACCTTCACAGACACACCCAGAATAATCTTTGACCAAATATCCGGGCACCCCATGGCCCAGTCAAGTTGACACATAAAATTAACCATTACAAGGCCCTTGACTACACATTCAATCCTTGCCTTCTCTTGACTTCCTTGAATAAGCTCTGTGCTACATTGTGCCATGTCCACTTGGTTACTCTGGGAGCAATGTCTCCCAGAGTCCCCACCCCTGTATGGTTCCAGGATAGAGTTGGCCGACAGAGGCATGTGCATGAGACTTGGAAAGCAGATGGGAAGCAGCAGCCACTGTTCTCTGAAGCACATCATCGTACCATGCAGTGATGGATGGTCAGAAAGATGCCTAATGGGCTCCGGCATAGCCTCATTCTCCTTTGCTCCACATCCAGCTCTTCTTCCCAACTGCTGGCCTTGCTGACCAACAGTGGCCCCAGCCCCACCACTGAATGCTTGTCTGCTGATTCACAGAGGTGCGGTCTACACAGAGGCCAACTAGACAGCTGTACAAGCCCCCTTTACAGCCCCACTTCAGCAACTGGATGTTCCTGTCTTCTCAGATCACTGGTCAGTGACTCCTCTGGTCATCACCTCCCTAGCTCCTCCCATAATTGAGGAAGGTATGATTCCTATAATGTGTCCTTTATGCTATAACACTAATGATGGATCAACTTCCCCAACTGACACTGACCGATACCACCTCTTTAACCTTG